GCCTTGCAATCCTTTACATTTGTCTCCCAGCTCTGGGCTGCTGTGTCTGCCTTGCAATCCTTTACATTTGTCTCCCAGCTCTGGGCTGCTGTGTCCGCCTCTGCCTTGCAATCCTTCACATTTGTCTCCCAGCGCCGGGCTGCTGTGTCCGCCTCTGCCTTGCAATCCTTAATTTTACATTTGTCTTCCAGCTTTGACTGCTGTGTCCGCCTCTGCCTTGCAATCCTTTACATTTGTCTCCCAGCTCTGGGCTGCTGTGTCCGCCTCTGCCTTGCAATCCTTCACATTTGTCTCCCAGCTCTGGGCTGCTGTGTCCGCCTCTGCCTTGCAATCCTTAATTTTACATTTGTCTTCCAGCTTTGACTGCTGTGTCCGCCGCTGCCTTGCAATCCCTTTGCATGTGTCCTCGCAAGCCTTTGCATGTGTCTCCCAGCTCTAGACTGCTGTATCCGCCTCTGCCTTGCAATCCTTTATTTGTCACCCAGCTCTGGGCTGTGTGTCGCTTGCAATCCTTTCATTTGTTTCCAAGCTGTGGATTGCTGTGGCCGCCTCTGCCTTGCAATCCTTTGTCTCCCAGCTCTGGACGTCGCAAGCTCTAGTTGCAGAGTGTTCCGATATTGAAAATCACAAACTGTTTGGGGTCTACGGTGGTGTAATTTGTTTATTTTATGGTGAATATCAATGGGATATTTTTTCAAGGCCGACAAGTTTGTTTCATAGATTTAGATCGATCCTTTATCAATACAATCCACGAACATCCAGTTCTTTTGAGAGAAATCGGTGAGTCATTCGTGAGTACTTGCCCCCCAAAGAGAAGTCGTTCTTTTTCGAACTGTGAAGCAGAAGACATGGCCGAAAGAAGAGACATGAATGGCCCCTGCATCTCCAGTGCTTCGCACCCCCGATCTCCTGTTTTTTTCCCCGGCTGTATGGTGAGGAAACCATGAGGAAAACCATGGGAACGCCCTGGACTGAACAAGACCGCCAGCTTGGTTGATACTGCATCGGATGAACGCCCTAAAAAACAGCTGCCGCTCCGAGGCTTTAGTCGGAAACGAGCGAGGCGCTACTGTTTTGGGAGCGATGATGTTCCCACAGAAAGCCATCTCTGTGTTTACAAGAGATCTTCCCTTTCAGTCCCTCACAAAAGCCTTAAGGAAAAGTCCTTAGATATCCAACTCATCAGAAAGTAACCTTTTTCAGCATCCATCTCGCCTCAGCAGTGGCTGAACATCTGACTTCTTGAGCTTCGCTGCCTTATGGCGCCACTGCTGAGTGTGTTGCTGGCAGCGCGGCATGCCCGGCTGCCTGCGCTCCCGGAGCACGTCTGGCGCAAGGCACGTCTGACAATGCTACGCCGCCGTGAGTCGGTTTCCAGATGGAAAGCAGGGACGCTGCTGACAGATCTCGCCTTTTTCCAGCAACAGCAGAGCTAGGAGCAAACCAAATACGATCTTGGCTCGTACTATACAAAGATCTGCTGATCTGCTTCTTAAAGCCCTCTCTTTTGGAGGTGCAAGATTTGGTGGGCGAGGAGTACTTCCCAGAAGACGTGGACGCTTGGCGATGTCCTTTCTTCCAAGTGAGGTGAGATCGTGGGGGGAGAAAGGCTCAAGGGCATCCACGAGGATCTGGCATTTTAATGGTTTTAGCATTGTTGTAGGTCTGTAGTGTGCATCACAAAAAGCAGATGATCAGCGCTATTCAAGTGTGCAAGCTGCGCACATTTTGGTTGCAGCTTGGTGTTCGCCTTAAGAGCCCTTGCATGTGGGCCAGATCAGCGAACTCCATTGACTCAGTCCTTTTCCCAGTTTCTCCAGCCAGTTTGCATGCCTGCAACCTGGGTTTTCCCGAATTGGGTCAATCTTACGCCCAAACCTGGGGCATATGTTTTATCCTTTCCCGGCTTACCTGGGAGCCGCCTGCCACCTCCGATCCGAGCGCAGATCAGAGGGACGTTGAAGCCGGTAAGGATCGAGAACGGCGCTGAAAGATCAAGAGAGAACTGGAAGAACAAGAGCCCCCAACATCATCCAATAAGAATGCTTACATGTACCTGGTCCTGATATTTACCCCTCCCGAGTGGACTGGTTAGCTCATTTTCCTTTTACAACCCCCACGAGTGGACCTTGAAGCTCCAAAAACGAGATGAGGAAGCCTTGGTTGTCCGGTTTCTGTGGGATTTTTCCCACACATTGGCCACCTCACCCTTTCCCTCTGCGGATTGATGTGGTTGGAGCTCTAGGGGACCATCCGCAGTTGCCCTTTCTTTCCATCCAAGGAGGGAACCTTCATCCTCCATCCCCGCCCTGTGCCAACCGCTGGCGTTCGTGGCGACGGCCTCTACCATTTAGAGCTGCTCTTCGTGGGTGGCTCGGCTCGCAGGAAGCCGCGAGCAGCAAACATCGCCATTTTTTCGGCCGCGCGCGTTTGGAAGATCTGGAGATCCAGTCGATATAAGAGATGCTGGGTCTCCAGATTTGTGCACCACAGAGAGATCTGTCCACAGATACCAGGGCCCCCGGGCCAGGGATGTCTAATAGCTCCTGAAAGAGGTGTCCAAAAGTGTCCATGAAAACCACCCCATGGGGTAGAGGGGGCCCTGGTACATGCTGGATGCCCAGATGCGTTTTTGGGGTCACCCAATATGCCACGTCGAGCGAGCCGGGCCAGTACTCGTTGGACTGTCTGGACTGTCAGTACGCACGCGGAGGGTTCTTCCGATGGTCTGACCCCTTCACCAGCCTTTCATTGGATGATTTGGATGGATGACCAACGCGTGAGTGGAGCGGCTGAAGGCGCTCTGAAACCCTAAACCCAATGGCCCCCCTTGGCTCCCCTTGTTTCAGGCAGCTTCTTAGTGATTCTTCACCGCCCCGGTGGATGCTGTGCGCGCACGCTTGAGGTACCACCTTTGGCCGTCCACGGCATGGGCTGGCTCGATGGTTCGAACCGGTCGCTTGGGTGGTTCGAACGGCGAACGTTGCCGGAGGTGTTTTCGATGGCTGAGACCTTTTTGTTTATGGAGGCCAACTGGGAGAACTTGAAAGCCATTGGCTTTTCGATTTTTTTTTGTGGTTGGTTTACAGCGAGTCGTAAAATTCGTTTAAGTACTCTGATTAGTATCATCACCAATCACAGTC